TGCACATTGACACTGCACTGCTAGATTTTGAACACTGCACTTTTCAAAAGGTTGGTGTTGCTACTGATATAGTTGGAACAAAGAATTCTTTGGATGTAAACGAAAACTGCTTTGCAACATTCTTCACAATATCTTTTATATTCAACAAAAGAAAGAAATTCATAAAAGTTTAAAACCATTTAATTGTATAATTGGAAAAGACATTTTTAGATTTAGTTGAACTTTTCCTTTTAATTAAGATTAATTGTGGCATTGTCATGTTAGAAATAAGAGCAATTTATCTTCTGACTTGGTTGTTTAAGAAATAAAAAGGTACATGGTACAATAATTCAATTTAATTCACCTTTTTTTGTATAGCGCTTTTACAATGTAGATTGTGTCAAAGCAGCTTCACATAGAAGATAAAAGACATTACAGGGCATCACGGTGGCGCAGTGGGTAGCACGATTGCCTCACAGCAAGAATGTCGCTGGTTCGAGCCTCAGCTAGGTCAGTTGGCACAGTTGGTAGAGTTTGCAGGTTCTTCTCGTGTTTGCTTGGGTTTCCTCCGGGTGCTCCGCTTTCCCCCACAAGTCCAAAGACATGCACTATAGGTAAATTGTTTAAGCTAAATTGTCCGTAGTGTATGTGTGTGAATGAGTGTGTATGGATGTTTTCCAGTAATTGGTTGCAGCTGGAAGGGCATCTACTGCATATAAACAGGCTGGATAAGTTGACAGTTCATTCCACTGTGGCGACCCCAGATTAATAAAGGAACTAAGCTGAAAAGAAAATGAATGAATGAATGAATGAATGAATACTACATTAGATTGGGTTAAAAGAAATGTTAGACTTTAGGTTCTTGTTGTATCTGTTTTACACACTATTTGGCCATAAAGACCATAACTAAAATGAATTACCATTAATAATCCAAAAACAAAGGTTTCCAGGTAAGCACACACACACACACACACACACACACAGTAATACTGGTAAATATCCACAAAATTACACAAACAATAAATGTGCTGAAGTTAAAAATGCTCTGTTGGTTTATACAAAATAGGTTTAAGCAAAGGTATGGAATTGGCAAGGATGGACGGGACATGCTCCCACCAATTACTGAAATGTCCCTACCAATAATTTAATAGACTTCAAAAAGAAACAATGCTCCATCAACCTTAGTAACCTACACATGCACAAAGTCAAGTTCGCTATGAGTTCACTGTTAACTATATGAACCAAGACTGTGCAATTAATCGAAATTTGGTTTCGATTTTGGCCTCCATGATTATGAAAAACAATGATCAGAATAAAACTGTTAAATTGTGTAACACACCGCTCTAAATTTCTTCACATTCATACCTCCTCAAGCGTGATTGTAGTAAAATCTTGTAAGTTGATTTACAGCATGGTATGCAATTGTTATTTTGTATTTTTAAGTGTTTGTTTTATATTATTAAGTACTTTATTTAGTTGTGCTGTTCAGTGCATGCACTCTAGAGAAGTAGGCTTATCAGTGGTGGAAAGAGTACTGAAAAATCATTCTCAAGTAAAAGTACCATTACTTGCCTAAAAATGTAGTGCAGGTAGAGTAAAGTATCTGTTGTAAATATTACTCAAAGTATGATTAAAAAGTAGACCTTTGAAAAGTACCCAAGAGTTATGAGTATTACACTAAAAATTGGATGTATTTGCATGTAATTTGTGAATGTGTGTAAACGTAACATTCTGTAGTGCATATTAGTTATTATTCTGACATCAACCTGATTTTCATTTCCAAACAAAATACAATGTCCCCAAGATGTCAGGGTATAATGTCAATCTGGTGTCATGTTGATGTCTTGTACCTGCTGGGTGCTTAAGGCCATTTCGGTCATCATACAATTAACATCCGCCATCTTCTCATCAGTGACATGCATCTAAACAGTCTCCAGGTAATTGTGTGTAAATATTTTGGACGTCTTTTGGACACTTGTAATGCTATCAAACTGTTTGCTGCGACTATAAATCACCCATGTCTTGAGGTGGTTTATTATGATGACATTTATTTTCTATGTATGATTAAATTGGACAGGAATCACAGGACTGATTTTTCTAAGCCCCACAGACAAGAAAAAAATTGATTTATGACCGCAGGTTGAAGGAAAGTAGTGGGGTAAATGTACTGATACTGCAGGAAAAAATTTTTATCAAGGGAAAGTAAAAGTACACATTTTTTAAAACTACTTACTAAATTAAAATTTCTGAGAGAAAAAGCTAATTAATTAGTCATTTGAGTATTTGTAAGTTGTTACTTTACACCACTGAGAGCTATGTCTCTACCAATATCAAGAGCTAATGTACACCCCTGGGCTGCATGTATTGTTTTAGCATCGATATCGCAATGTGTGAAAAATAACCAATAGTCACATATCATATGACGTGCAATGTAGAGTCAGGATTGTAGTTGACCAGGTACAACCATTCAGAACACATAATTTTAGTTTAACAGTAAGTAAAAAGCAAAGTTTGCCAGCTAAGATTTTGAAGCCTCTGTAAACATTTCAAGTGAGCTTAAATCATTTTTAAAACAAATGTACCATTATTTTTGTTGCTTTAACAAAGATAACTTGTACTCAATTATTTACACAATAAAGAATATACCGTTTTATTGTGCATTTGATTCTTTTAGTTCTGTACCTGTATAGTTTAGACTCCTTCATTTGTATATTTGCTTTTATATTTCTGCTCTTAATTTGTTTAATATATTTTATGCAAATGCAAAATCATCCCAATCAATCTAAAATTATTAAGTTAATGAATTATGTTGTCTTGTGAAATATCGCAATATGAATCAAAGAAAGTGAAAATTGTTTTTTTCCAGCCCTACTTAGGATACAAACTAATTATCCATGATGAAATAAGGTTTATGCACAATATAATAGGGCCTGAACAGGTATGCCCACAAAACTTCTATTATAGGTCTAGAACATGTGTGAAGTGTCTCAAAATGTAGTGCCTTCTTTGTCCCCTATTAAGATCAAATATTATTGTCTTAACATTTCAATAAATCAAATTAAAATTGCCCATTTAATAAAAAATAGCATTTAAATTTAATCAAGCATATGTTATCTTAAATTAGCCATGTATTGTATAAAGCAAATGTTCTGTAAGTGTAAGTAAATTGGCGTTTCTCTGTTCTCCAGGTCCTGTGGGGTGGACGGGTCATTAACCCAGCTGAAGACGACCTTTCCTCACAAGCCATAGACAAACTCAACAAGAAGTTACACAAGGATGAGCGGATTGATCTTAGTATGCTCACTGTTGGAGACGGCCTGACGCTGGCCATCAAAAGATAATGTAAATCATTTGAAAATAAATAAATTCAGACAAAGGCTGATTACGCATCAGTTTTTAAACATCATTTATTTCTCTAAATAAATGTTATTATCAACAAAACTGTCTGTTAATCCCTTGTGAAAACTTAATGCAGAAAAAAATCTGTTAGACATGTTATAACCAAAGCTAAGGTATTATTTACTTGTAGTAAAACTGTGGTTATAAAATGATCCCAGACAGCACACATACGTTGGGCCCACGTCGTGCCGATTTTCAAAATTCCATCGGTGCGATGTCGCTCAGGGAGCGTTTGCTAATTGGCAAAATGTCGCCGCGACGTCGGCAAATGATCGGAAACGCTGTCCGGCCGATGTTAAGACGACGCAACCGGAAATACCGGCCGCTCCGCGGAGGCGCTGTTCTCAGGCGTTTTGCTCATACTTATGGACCACTGGCTGCAGCAGCAGCTTATTTATAATAAACACGACACACCACTCTCAATAACAGTTGAAGATTTATTAATATTTTCACAAACATACAGATAGATTAACATACTTTTATCACACATAACCATGTTTTACCACGTTTAAAACAAAACCAGCAAGTTGTACTATAACCATGGCTGAACTACTGTGCAATAAAGATTTTAAATACAAAATCCATTGCAGCATTTACATTAAGACCATAGGAATATTTAAAAGTACTTCAAAACATGTACACTAAGGGTGACTATAGTTTACTATAGTAAAAACACAAATAACTTGTGTCAGCACATGTTATAATGCTTATAATTTCTTAAATAGTGTTAAAGAAAATGCATGTTTCCAAGACTATAATCTTAAAATACAAGATAATACCAGTCATGTGTTCAGTATCCAAAAGACTTTCCTCAGGGAGTTACAATAATAAAAGAGTACACAAACACAAAATAAACAATATTTACAGTAGTAAATAAAATCATACAAATTAAAATAATTGTCTGATAAAATCTTATTAAAGTCTGTAGTCAATTTATTTTTTACAATTTTTTTATAAATGGCATTCAACAATTTGCAATCTCCTCTGAACTAATAACACATCAATAATATAAAATAACAATACTTTCTCAGAGATAACCAGTTTTTTTTAAGCAAACTCTAATGCACAACACAAAACAGATTTTGTCATTATATATATAGGAAGATATGAATGCTGTTTTTTGTATCAAAGCAAGTGTAGCAGGCTGTTGCATATATATATATATATATATATATATATATATATATATATATATATATATATATATATATATATATATAATCCCTTAATTTCTGTTTAACAGAAATATTTTTAACACATTTCTAATCACAATAGTTTTAATAACTCATTTCTAATAACTGAGTAAATAGTATTTGACTAGATATTCTTCAAGACACTTCTATACAGCCTAAAGTGACATTTAAAGGCTTAACTAGGTTAATTAACTAGGCAGGTTAGGGTAATTAGGCAAGTTATTGTATAATGATGGTTTGTTCTGTAGACAGTCAAAAAAAATTGCTTAAAGGGGCAAATAATATTGACCTTAAAATGTTTTTAAAAAAATTCTAAACTGTTTTTATTCTAGCCGAAATAAAAGAAATAAGACTTTCTCCAGAAGTTTTTATATATATATAAAACTGGTTGTAAATTGTGTACAATGTTCCAAGAAAACAGACAAAATGAAAAGAAATAACCTGTCATTTACTTTTGTTTTATCTTGTGGAAAGTTGCTTACACATAAAAGGGGATAAATAGGTGGAATAAAAAGTGTGTTGCCATCCTCGAAATTGTTCTTGTATGTTGTCTTCATCTTTAGTCTTCACAAGTGAGGCTGGCCCAAACCGGGACTGCAGTAGCCAAATCTAATCCTTGTTGTGGGAACCCTTAAATAAAGCAAGAAACCAAAAGGAGAAAGATTAGCATTGCAGCAGTTCATATTACCACAAATATATATTATTTGTTTCATGACATATAACTGGAGTATGTGTTATGCAAGTGCCTAGCTAAAATAATTAATTTAATTTTACCTTAAAGAGTATGTCTGAGCACTAATTTTCAGAAAAGCCATTTGAAAGTTAAATTCCTTGTGAAATCATAATGAATGTTTTTTTTTTTCGGTTTTTAGTATCATTGTGTTAGTATAAATCTGTATCTAAATATATGTCTAATCTTCAGATACCACATTACATGCAAATTAAACTAAGTTTCGTCAACTAAAATGTCACACTGTACACCACATTTAATATATAATAGCTAGGGCCAGGAGGAATCTGCAGATGTTTTTTTGCTATTTCTGCTGAAAATTTTGGTGGAGGTCTGCGGATTTCTGCGGAATTATTTTGGGAGTATCATAACTTAAACCTTAATATATGAAATAAAAAAAATAATATATTTAAGTTTTATTTAATGTTTAAAATGCAAATCCAATTAGATTCACTTTATTTGGTAAATAAAGCAAGTTTTTTATATAACATATCTAGTAAGACAGAAAATATTACTGTACAAACCTCATTGTACATAAATCAGACGAACATTTTAACATTAGTCAATAATATTACTGAAATTAATTAAAAAACTGAATAAATATAGATTTACACACATTTACTCAAGTAAATAAACAGAATTAATGATAGGCTAAACATCTGCGGAGTTCTGCAAAAATTCCGGGTGAGCCTAATCATAGCTTTATTTCTGCTACAAAAACAATTATATGTAGGCTATAGAGGAGGATATATAAAGAAATTATATATTCAACTCTCTAATTAAATGCACCTGATGCAGCTAATCGAGTCTTTTAGGCTTATTTGAAAACTTAAATGACGTGTTGGACCACAGTTGGACAACGCTCAGTGAGAATACTTTTTTGCACAAATTCTTTTTGTTTTAAAGAAACATGTCTGATTGCTAGCAATCATCAAAGAGCAAACTTTTTTGTTTTTCAAATAAATACTATGCTCTTAAAAATAAACTTTTCATACATCAAGAATACTATTTAAAATGTTTTATATTAAAAAAAACAGCTTGAGGAGAGAATCAGTACATTGGAATACTATTTTTTCAGAAGGATCATGTGACACTATTAATTATATACACTGTATTAAATTCACAGTATTACTGCTTGACTGTATTAATTAAATAAAGCTGACACTATCAGAAGAGAATTTACCATACCAACCTAAAAGCTATGAAACAGTAGTGTATGTTTAAGATGTTACTTACTAGTCCTATTGTACTTTGGAGAGGTTGTCTGAAAGGAGGATCCCTTCAACTCAGCAGAATTCTCAGCAGACCATCAGCGTACACCAATCTAAGAATAAAATAAGCAATTTGTTAAAAACCAAAAATATATATATTTTATATTTCCAGGTTTATAGGAAAGAAGAAAGCTAAAGCAGATTTAAAATGCAGGAAAAAAATAAAACCTATTGACAATTTAATGGCACAACATACCCCACACTAAGCACGCTCAAATGGTTAATTTACATAAATGACAACTGCTGCACATTATACCAATATTAACTGTTAAGGATTCATTCATTCATTTTCTTTTGGGCTTAGTCCCTTTATTAATCTGGGGTCGCCACAGCGGAATGAATGGCCAACTTATCCAGCATATGTTTTATGCAGCGGATGCCCTTTCAGCTGCAACCAATACACACTCGTTCACACACACTTATACACTATGGTCAATTTTAGCATACCCAATTCACCTATTTCTTTGGACTTGGGAAAACGGGAGCACCTGGAGGAAACCCACGCCAACACGGGGAGAGCATGCAAACTTCACACAGAAACACCAACTGACCCAGCCGAAGCTCGAAGCAGCGACCTTCTTGCTGTGAGGCAAACGTGCTACCCTCTGCGCCACCGTGCTCTCCTGTTAAGGAATCAGATTAATATAAATGAATTGACATGTTTATTTAGTGTCTGACACATTAAATATTGCATTTTTAAATATTGTTTCATTTTAAGATTTATTTCAGAATTAACTATAGTACCTGGATATATCGTCACATTTTCATGCACAGAAGCATTTCCAAGAACATAGAAAAACAGAATAAAGGCCAACTGAAAAAATAAAAAATAAAAAAAACTCTGACTGAATGCCTTAAGTAACTAGCTAGGAATGGGCAGGTATAAGATTCTGAAGGTATAATCTTAGATTAAAATATCACAGTTTCACAGTATTGTGATTACTGCTCTGAAATGTGTTTTTTTTATCTCTGTGTAAAAAACAGCTACTTTTTCCCCATTGAACATGATATGTTTTATTTTAAGAAACATTTTAAATATTTTGTAACAGTAAACATGCCAGGCTAAATAATAATTTAATAAAATAGTACTATCTTCATTAGACTCAAAAACACTGAGTTCTTGTGAAGGCATAATAAGCTATTTGTTTTTCAGATGTTTGCTGAATCGTGAGCTGACCAGTAGCTTTTGATGTGGAGGGTCTTTTGCTGCTGTAGATAATGTTGGACTATTTTTTTTTTGGACTATTTTTTTAAGTCTTTGATAACGCGCTAAAAACCATATACAATGCATCCGGAAAGTATTGATAGCGCTTTACTTTTTCCACATTTTTAATGTTTCAGTCTTATTGCAAAATGTATTAAATTCATTAATTTCCTCAAAATTCTACACACAATCCCCATAATGTGTTTTGACCCGATTTTAGTTAATCATTTACAAGTCAATATTGCCTATACGGATTGTAATTTTAAAAAAAATTAACATGTAAAATTGCAGTGTTAATTGCAATGCCATCAAAAATTTTAGACGCACCAGTGCAAAAAGCTAGTCTAGAGCACTTGGAATGCTGGTGTAGTTCTAGTTAAATTCAGTTCAGTTAAAACTGTATATGCAGCCGGTCTCAAGTATAGGATTTAGTATTTAACTAATCTTAGAAACTAAACATTTACGAGTCTGTATTAGCCAGCTCATGTACTACAATGTAACATACTGTATATTGCCACCTTGATACTTAAGCTTTCTTTAAAATATTTTGTGTTCAACCGATTAATTAATTCTTTCATTTAATTTTTTCAGTGCAATAGTATAGCTTACACTGGTGTATTTGTATGGACCCCCCAAAATAGCGGAGGCCACTTTCTGGCCAACCAAGTATAAACTTCTAGCCTAGCCACTGTGAACTACCTGTCTGTCCTGCTCCAGAACTCTTTGTCGGCTGCTTGTATGTCTGGATAGTCTTTTAACACTGACAAATACAGCCTCTGCACATCCTCACAACCAGGAGAACAGAATGACCTGAAAAATATAACCAACTGAAATCAGTTGAAATGTATTTGGTCTTGTGATGATGACACAAAAATAAATTATTTTTCACAAAGGATGTGCTGTTACCTATGAAACGGTCTATAATGAATGATCTTTTGATCCTGTTTCCTTGATGTCATTCACTCAGAGATGGTTTGGACATTTGATTGTATCTAAACTGTAAAGAATTTAAGTTACAAAAACATTGATAGCAGGACCATTGATCTTGTAACTCATACAAATTGTTAAGTATTGAACAAGTCTGCAACCAAACTAGTCAAGTTAATAATACTAATCTCAACTCAACTATGATTAGTTGTCTTGTTTCTGCTGCCCAGACGGTCTCTCCACCTGCTGATAAAAAAGGAAAAAGTATGGTATTTTTACAACAATGAAACTGCAAACAACTTAACTATAAGGGGGTAAGCAGTGAGCATCTTTTATTATAAGCAATTTACTGAATACTTTGTCACTGGTATTACCTAAAAACCAAACGTCCCAAGTTTGGCTCATAGCTGTCCACACATCTGCCCAGTAGCTTGTGGTAATACTGAAGACACTGATCAGCTGGTCCAACTGAGTTTGGAGTTGAACTGCAATTAGGCATCCAATACTGCAAAGAAAGAGAAACTCACTTTGGGTTAACAAATAATGTAATCCCATCCACGCATTTCAAGTAATTGTGCAGTTAATTCTCTTATTGAATTTTCTGAGAGCTTATGAATATATTTTGTCTTCCCAAAATAGCATGTACTGAAACACAATATATTATATAAATATAATTTAATAAGAGCGTGACGTGGTGGCACAATAGGTAGTGCTGTCGCCTTACAGCAAGGATGCTGACTCGAGCCTCGGCTGGATCAGCTGGCATTTCTGTGTGGAGTTTGCAAATTCTCCCTGCGTTTGCGTGGGTTTTCTCTGGGTGCTCTGGTTTTGCCTACAAGTCCAAAGACATGGGGTACAGGTGAATTGGGTAGACTAAATTGTCTGTAGTGTATGAGTGAGAATAAGCGTATATGGTTGTTTCCCAGTGATGGGTTGCAGCTGTAAGGGCATCCACTGCGTAAAACATATGCTGGATAAGTTGACAGTTCATTCCGTTGTGGTTACCCCAGATTAATAAAGGGACTAAGCAGAAAAGAAAATGAATGAATGAATTAAATAAGAGTTAAACTGATCTGTTAACATGTCTGTCAGGAGCTGATCTACCTTATAATTAATTTTTTTGCTTAATTTTTTTTAAAAGGGAAATCAATACCCACACATATACATATATATACACACATATATATATAAAATGTATATAAAAATATAATATATATAAAAAATGGTTCCAGTAGTAACGCTCCTTAAAGTTAAACTACATATTCACATTCCTCATCTGTCTACTGTTACATTATACTAATTACTGTTACATACAGTGGCCGAGAGTGCGAAAGAGAGTAATAAAACACAGACAAAGAAGACAGTTTTGTCACTTTTTCTATGCTATTTGTGAGATTGTGTATGTTGTCAAACTGATGAAAATGTTTTCTCAATTTACTTTAACATTTTTATAACTTACAGCCGTTGTTACATTTAAAAGTATTTTAAACATGGATGGACATCTAAATGCATATAGGGCACATCTCAAAACATTATTAAATTTTTCCAGATAAATCAATTTTGAATTAAAACGTATATTAATCTCTAGACTTGCATCTCCCTGATCTTTTTAAAAGAACCGCCCCTCGTTTGCTCATCACTGTTTGACAAGTGTCTGGCAGTCCGTCAAAAATATACTTACATATAAAGATGTTCATCAGCTACACGGCACTTAGGTTAAACTTTGACCTCCTTTTCAGTTGATGTGGAAAACAAAAGCAAAAGAAAGACAAAACAAAACGACATATCATGCCTGTACAAATCAAAATTTATTCATTTAGGGCTTAAATTGACTTGTTTGAGGATGAGTTAAGGTGTAAGGGATGGGTGAACGGTGTAAATATACATGTAATTCATAGCTATGATGTAAAGCTGAATTTTCAGCATCATTACTCAAGTCTTCAGCGTCACTTGATCTTTCAGAAATCTTTTTTAAAGACGTTGATTTAGTGCTTGAGGTTGAACTAATATAATGGTGATTATCAAATGGTGCTGATTTGCTGCTCAAGAAACATTTCTGATTGCTATCAATGCTAAAAACAGATGTGATGACAAATAATTTAGTGTAAACTTTTTTCTAAGATTTAATAAATCAATTAATCATAAAAAAATTAAACAAAATGAAAATAACAAATATTACTTCATTAGCAGCAAATCTGCATATTTATTAAGTTCTGAAGAATCATGTGATGTGAAATTTAACACCACTCACATGTTTCAATGTCAAAACTTTCTTAAAATAACTGCAATAAAGACAAGTAACAGATGCATAATATATAGACATGTAACATTTGCATAATGATGTGCAATGGAAATTCATATGAGTTAATCCTCTGCTTAAAGTTACTTGTCTTTTCTGCATCTCTGTGATCAGCTCCCTTCAGAAATTTAGGAATCTTGTGTTATGTTTTCTGTAGCAGGGGGTTATTCTCTCACTCCTGAAACCACAGAACACTTTTTTACTTAACATTTGTTTAAGATAACGTTACTATGAAATATCAAAACACGATTGAACTTTTGATTCACGGTCCTTTACAGTACAATGCGTATTAGACTAACGTTACATATGGAGTGCATTAAATAAAACATTGACAAAACCTCTCATCTACACATAAAGAATAAATAAAAGCCTAAACTTTAACAAACAAGTTTAACAAGAGCTAACATTAAGTAAGTTAACGTAATATTACCCCGACGCTAACGTTACCAGTGCTAATATGCTAACAGACTTTTACGAAGACTTACCACTCTTATATAACATAATATTCAACTGAATATTCATCAATTGCCAATAATAAAAGTGTGAGGAACAGTTTTATGTAGTATTTGCTTTGTTTTAGGGACTAAACTTACCTGAAAACTGTCAAAACGGCAGCTTGAGAGAAGTCGTGTTGTGTCTTTCAGGTGGTGTCGTGTCGTGTTGTAGCTTCGTTTCCCATAGCAACATCCCCTCCTCTCCAGTGTTGGAATGAGACGCGCGCGCGCACATCAAAGTCATGCAGTATTACATTTATAAACATGATCACTCCATAGACTATTTAAATAATAACCTTGTATTTTATATATTGAATTTAAAATGTATTTAGTAGTTTTATATACGCTATTATCTTTAAGACGAGCTTTATAGCCTACTAATCTGTTACAAAACAAACACTTATTTGTGCATCAGATTCACTGTCAAAAATAAATAAATATAAATGCAAGTATATATAAAACAAAGATGTCACTCTGTAAAAAGGTGTTTATTTTAATTAAACAGCCGAACATGCAGAACATACTTGATTTTTACACTGAGAAAAATGTAGGCTATTAGAAAAAGCCACAATAAAAAAAAGCAAACAGCAGTTAACACCAGAAAAAAACAACGTTTTCATTATTTAAGCATAACAACAAAACTTTTTATATTTTAATGAATTGAAATCATGTGTTGTAGGCATTTTGGTCAGTTTTACTGCATTAATGTAGACTATTTAAAGCTGGACCGACCGACGCAGTTCACATGATGCATGTCGCGTTTGTCTAATTTATTATGCACGCAAAAACTTACTTGTAAACCAAATATGTTGCCGGATTCCTTCATGGGCATGAGAGATAAAGTGCTTATGAAGTGCTTCGTCGGCCTCTGGTCGTTAACCGATGCAGAGCCGACGTTTGTTGAGCTGGAACAATAGAACACACGACCGAACGATCATGCGTATGTTTGGCCGACCATATACCGATGTTAGAATTAAAGGGGCCGACGTGTTGACCTTCGGCCGACGTCAGCCCAACGTATGTGTGCTGTCTGGGATAGCACTAATTAAAAAAAAATAACAACACCATTTTAAAAATGGTGAAAATCTAAGAGGGCAAGAAAACTCTCTATATATTCTATAAAACAAATCGCACAATTATAGGCCTAAGTTATTATTTTGGAGGTTATTTTCTCAAGCTCTGATGGTGCTTTTTTATTGAATACAAAAATAGCATCACTGCATTGAAGAGAAAACACAATAACAAAAGATTAGGAAAGAGAAGAAGAAAAAAATACTTTACAAAGCCCCGATCAATCAGAAAAAAGATTATCATAAGCATTAAAAAACGTATTTTTCTTATTACTATAAACTTAAGAGATTCGCTCTTATGTAGCCTTCAGACGTTATTTGGCCACAAGATGGCGTCATTACTCTTCAATTTTGGGTCATTCGTCCCGTACAAAAACATGTGTTGACATGTCAGCACCAGTTAGCACATACCGCCTATAAAGTAATTATTGACGGGTTTCCTTATCATTTTCTTGTACTTTACTATCTATAATTGATATTTGAGGTGAAAACTTAATGTAATCAACATAGAAAACAATCTGTAGCATAGCCTACATTTTATTTTTTTTCTTTATCTCTCCTAATCTTTTAAAGTTGTTTTTTTTATTTTGTTTTTATTAGTATTAGCTATTATTTTATGCATAAAGTGAAGCATTACATTCTAGCGTTTTTAGTTTAGTTTAGTTTTGTTTTGTTTTGTTTTGTTTTTTTTATCGTACCCTATCATGCAACCGGTAGTTTCGTTTATTCTTAATCAGAGCATACGTGAGAAATGAAACTTAACTTGTAATGTCCCATGGGACGGTTACAGCGACACACTATAAAAACCAAACAGAGAGACCGCATTTATCCAGACGTTTTGATTAGAGGAGTTCACGCTGAAGAAGGTAAGGCTTATCTGTTGTTATAACTTGCTAAATGTTGCTGCATAAAAAAAGATGCTGCATAGTTTATCAATAGAAATAAAACAGTGAATATCTTAAAATTATTCAATAAATTTGTAAATTAAAATAGGACTTTATATAAATTATATTTGACTGTTCATTTACTGTTTTGTTTCTGTAGGTTTAATTGAAAATAAGTAGCCAGGAAAACATTCAAAGAAAATCTGCAAGAGAAAAAAACATTTGCATCAGTTTTGCATTTATAATAAGGAAATGTCAGAGGAAAATCTCAAACTGTTGTCCTGCCACTTTACATGGGGTCTGCTAAAAGAGGATGCTGATCTTAATTTCCTTGAAGTGAAAATCCGTGAAAGACTGGGGGTAAAGAGCGGGTATGAAGGAAACCTGAAACAGAGAGAATTAAATTTTCTGGCATTCATTAAGCATCTTCAAGGATTCAACGATGAGGCTCTTAAGAATCTGCTACTGGCAAAGGAAGAACATCCAAATGACGACAGGACTGTGATTGTGACGTATGGAAACCTGGCCTGGGTGCATAGTTTCCTGAGCAATGCGACTGAAGCGGAGGCCTACATAGAGAAAATAAATGAAATCCTCAGAGCTTTCCCCACTCCAGAGCTTCATAGAGAAGTTCTGAGTGAAAAAGCCTGGTCACTTCTCAAGTTCTCTAAGAAGTCCTACATCAGGGCCAAGGAGATTTTCCTTGAAGCTCTACAGAAAGAGCCGGATGACAAGGAGTGGAACACAGGCTTGGCGTTTTCTCTGTTCCGTCTGGAGGGACTGAAGATCGGTCAGTATCATCGAGTTCGTTTTGAAGAGTCTCCTGCTGTGCTTCAGTTGAAGAAAGCTTTAAAACTGGACCCGGATAATCCAATGATCCTGGTGTATCTGGGGCTCAAGTGCTACAAGAACATAAAGAACTCGGAAGCGTGGCAGTACATGACGCAAGCACTCAAAATGGCTCCCCATAACCTCAGCGTTGTGCTGCACGTTGCAAAGTTCATGAAGAAAGAGCAATGTTATGACAGAGCCCTAGATGTGCTGCTGGAAATGCTGAAGAAAGCACCAGATTCTTCTCGTTTGCATCATGAGGTTGCTAATAATTACCGCTGGAAAGCCATGCAGATTGATGACATACACAATCCGGAGTTGCTGGGCCTCTGCGTTCACCATTTAGAGAAGGGTGCCAGTTTAAACCCAGGTTATGTATACCCACAGCTGGAGCTGGCGCTGAGGTATGCAGAGCTAAAGCAGGCAGGCAAAGCAGAGCAGAAGTTCACTGAGCTCTTCAGCAAGCCTGACCTCAAGCCAGCTGATCTTCAAGCAGGGCACAGGCTGTATGGTGATTTCAAATTGTACAGGCTGGGCTCAGAGAAAGCTGCAGTTGAGCATTACAAGCAAGGCATGATGCTGGGACGAGTGTCCACCGAATGGATCTCCTGCAGAAACAGACTAAAGAAAATCCTTCAGCGTGACAAACGGGACATCTACGAGATCCGAGTGTTCTTTGATTCTATTAGAACAACAAACAAAGATGATTGAAAGTGGTGATGCTGTTTTACTCATAATTCATGTAGTGGTTTAAAACAATAGTGCCACTTTAAAGCCAGTAGTAAATTTCACATATAAAATATAGATAACATATAATAAATTATCAAACCAACATAATTTGTTTGTCTAACAGTGTTAGCAGAGGTGACTTTTTTAATATATAAGTAGCAAATGTTCTGTGTGTTAGTATTTATTAAAAATAATTGAATTGCCTATTACACCACAAAAGGACTTTGTGTAAATTACTAAACAGTACATTAACATAACATTTTGTGTCGTTTTATGATTTTTATCTGCAAAACAAATTGCCTATGTAAACTTTTAGATGAACAAAAAATATTTTATACAAAGTAATTTTCTTTTATGCTACTTTATGAAATGCTTTTTTCAAAAAAAAATATATATATATCTGGATCAAATTTATTCTAAGTTGGAAATCCCATATTTTTTTCATCCAGGATTAATTGATCTATCTTACTTTTATAGCAGTTTTTAAAGGAACATTGGGTTGGATCACTATGATACAAATCCCAAATTTAAGGATTGCCAAATCCTGTTTACCAAAGCCTTAAATGGAACCAACAGTATACTGGCTTAGCAAAGAACAACAGGTAGGCAAAATACCAATGGTCACAAACAGCCATTGTTTGTTTTAATGGTAAGAAACAGAAACACTGCAATCAACAAACGTTTCACATTTTTTAGTTTGTTCTAATACAAAACTGCTTTGATATTGTTTCATTGTTGTTGTTGTTGTTTACCATATCTCATTAGATTTGACATGCTTCAAATATGAAGGAATTTATCATCAACTGTTAAGTTTGTGATCATTCACTTTAAAAGTAAAACAGTTTTTTTTTTTTTTTTTGGTTAAAAAAATGACAACTAAATCCACCCTTCTGGTGGGATCAGGATAATCCTTTTTTTTTTTTTTTGGATCAAATAGATCCCAATTTTTAAAGTTTTAAATAACTCAAAGGGCAGGTTTGATCCACATCTAATGTAAAATTGGATTAAAAGGTCTCAAAATCCCTCTGTTACTGTTGAAAAACCCATTTCCAAGTTTTGATTCAATCTGTGATCCAAAATCCATTGGATTACATTCGGAAAAACTTGGCCCTTGACATAGCTGAAATTAATCAATTGATTTTAAAAAGTCATCTGTGATTCATTTGCTTCAGCTTATAAACATTATCAATTACGATATTATGTATATTATGTAATAACAATTATGTTTTTTGGAGTGCATCATTATTATTAGTAGTAGTAGTAGTAGTGTTAGTAAAAAAAAACTTTAAAGGAACCATTAATCTGCAAAAGCATCTTAACAGTGGGAAAATGCTCTTTAACTTTTTTTAATCTTTTACATAATAAGAAAAAAATTATTTCTCTTAGGAGTTGTTTACTAAAAGCTTCTTTTTTAACCAAAAATGTAAATTACATGCCTTTGAGAAAAACAAACAAACATAGGAACCTGAATATTTTTTGTTGAGTCTTTGTGGAATTATATTGGTGCCTAAAAAATTGGATTTGCTTTTCAGTTAATGGATTTGCTTTTTAATGTTTGGACTCTCAGCAGTAAAAATTAAACCACACTGAACTGAAATAAACTGAAGTTCAACTCTGAAAACTGGACTGACACTTTCAATTTACTAGAACTTCTATGTTAAGCTGCCTTGAAACAATCTACATTGTAAAAGTGCTATAGAAATAAACATGAATTGAATTCTATTTAATCAAGAATATGTAATGAAGAGTTTTTAAAGAAAAGCTGATAAATAGTAGCAAAGACACAACAATAAAAAAAATAATGCTAAAAATGCCCAGTCCATCTTTATAAAGAAGCTGCACTCATGAGAGGGCAGACGAGAGGCCTTTATGTTTCTATGTACTGTAGAAGCTGCTCTGTTGGGCTCAGTCCAGCTCACAGTGACCGCTCAGCATGACTGAAAGAGCAGAGCTGACTTGTGCTTTTTTACAGCACAAACGTGTACTTTATAGCTTGAAGAATGTTGTTAATGCAGGAAAATATCTGCAAATCTGACGACAAAAAGAGGAAACAGTTATGCTATTCAATAACCAACGCCACAGTTCTGCTGAATATCACATATATAACATTTTGCTGAGCTTGTAAGAATATGAATGATAAGGATATGTATTATTCATTCATTAATTTTCTTTTCGGTTTTGTCCCTTTATTAATCAGGAACCGGCAACTTATTCAGCATATGTTTTATGTAGTGGATGTCCTTTCAGCTGCAACCCATCACTGGGAAACATGATTTGTATTATATTAACAAAAACACAAAATGATAAATACTAAATAAAAGTAAATACAAAAATAAAATGTTAACATTGACAATGACATGATTTCATCAAGATCCATAGAATGTTTCCATTCTACAAAAGGTTTGCAGAGGAAAACTTTTTCTTTAGATTATTATAATGTTCTTCTAAGATTTTTGTTTCACTTAAAGGTTATTTGGGGATTTTTTTTCCCCTTCTTTAATGGCATTACTGTAAAAACCCACTTTTGCCATCTTTGTCTCTTAAATGTAATCAAACACACACAAAAAAATAAACACTTTAAAATGGCCAGAATATTACAGTTCATTTATAGAGTAGCTATCACTAACCTTGTGCTGAAGGTCATGCAACCTTTCTTTCAGTATAAAAAAGATGATTACATTTCTGTGTATGTTCTATACTTATAATGTGCAGGATTAGAAAAAAAGAAACAAATAACAACTATTTAAAGCCGAAAAACACACAACTAGTGCTTGAAGATTAGAATTTTGTGTTCCTGGAGATCTACCTTCCTGCAGATTTCAGTTGCAACACATATCAAACACACCTGCCTGTTCAAGTGCTGTTCTGGTGGAATTAATTGGTTTAGGTGTGTTTGATCAGGGTTGAAGCTGAACTCTGTTGGAAGGTTAGGAACAGTGTTGAACACCCCTGATTTAAAATATGGGAGTTGAAGTTTTATGCGTTTGCCTTTGTCATCTGAAAGTATTATTATTCAGAGCTTTGAAATATAAAAGTAAAGTGTTTATGAATAAGAGATTTAATTAAAGCAGATATAATTGCGATAAATGGTTACAGGGCTTCATGAGGAGACATCTAGCTTTAATGTCCACATCATATTACATATAGTGCTTTAAAATTCATGAACAGAATAGTAATAACACATCACACTCATTCTTGGGTGATTATTGGCTTCCATTATTGGTGTTGCTTTAGTAACATCGCTTTGACTCACACGCTGAAAATGGTGGACGTGAAACAACAAACTGAGGATATGGTGATGCGCGCCTGTCAATCAATATTGGTGGCCAGGGGGACCCCAGTCCTACGTCAAGTTGCTGTCGCCCTGAAAACCTCTCCAATTGGTCCAAAAGGACTAGGTGTGTTTATATCACCCCAATATGATGGTCTATACACTATACCTACGCATATGTCTGTCCAAACAGCTTGAAATTAAATTTTAGAATTAAATTTTAATTATTTGTTTGTTTAATTGGGGGCAACGCAGGGGCGCAGTGGATAGTGCTGTTGCCTCACAGCAAGTAGGTTGCTGGTTTGAGCCTCGGCTGGGTCAATTGGCGTTTCTGTGTGGAGTATGCATGTTCTCTATGCGTTCGCGTGGGTTTCCTCCAGGTGCTCAGGTTTCCCCCACAGTCTAAAGACATGCGGTACAGGTGCATTGGGTAGGCTAAATTGTCCATAGTGTATGAGTGTGAATGGGTGTGTGGATGTTTCCCAGGGATGGGTTGCAGTTGGAAGGACATTCGCTGCGTTAAAACATGTGCTGAATAAGCTGGCGGTTCATTCCTCTGTGGCGACCCCAGATTAATGAAGGGACTAAGCCGAAAGGGAAATGGATAAATGAATAAATGTTTAATTGTTTAACAAAAATTCTATGTTTTTTTTTTTTTATCTTAATTTAAACTTATGTATAAAGAAAAATAAATAAAGCGGTATAATTTTATTGTTGTGATGCTTGAAACCTTTTAGTCTTTGAACATAATGCACTGCAAATTGGCTTGAGGAGAAGGCATTGATTTTCAGTATTTTAAAAAAAAAGTAATTACAAGACTTTTAAAATAAGTGATCCACTTTTTTTGTTTCATTTCAAATATTTGCATTTTACATACACTCTCAGAAAAAAGGCACACGGTGGTAAAAATAATGTTTCTCAAGGAACAGTTTTGCATCTTTGTAAAAAATGGTACAGAAAAGAGCTCTTATGATACTGTTCAGCACCTTTTATGGTGTTGAAATGAAGGTACACAACTGTTCTCATAAAAAGGTACATAGTTGGACAACTCCTATATCTATGAAAATAAATATTACTGGAAAGGCAAAGTGATGTTATGAATAATTTCCATATTAAAATATGTAATCATAAAAGCTTATGTTTAAAGAAACTCATAAACATTAATTATTAAGCTCTATAATATGAAACAACTGGTAAAAGAAAACTATAGGTATTGTAAATTAAACATTTAAGGCATTTTTAATTAACATTTGGTAGGCATTTTCTGATAAATACATTTTCATTATTGTTATCTGCACCTTTTGGCATTTGCTTTCCACTACACACGTGAGCTCATGTTCAGCACATCCAAAGTGTTTATGCAGACACTTTAGTATTGTGAAACTAATCAAACATTGTGCATATCTCATTACAATACTTTTGCATAATTATATTTCTATTTTTAAATAAAGTAAATTAAATGAACTTTTAAGTGATTACAAAGGTATTGTGTGAAAATTGTAGAAAAAAAATGTTGTACATGGGAGAATGTTTTCTGTAACATTTCTGTGTTGTGATATGTTTAGCAAAAAAAAATAGATCTTAGATTTATGTTAAAGTAATTGTTATTCTTTTAATTTAAAATTAAAAGGTACATTTACACAAAAATGTTTTTATAAAACATTGTTTAAAAATGTATTTTATGTTTTGTATTTATATTTGCTGGAAATAAATTGACACATAAATTAAATTTACACATTTTGGATATAGCAAAATGCCTTTAAATAGTTCTTAAAGCAGCACATTTGACACTGTTAACGTACAAAGTATCAACACTGTGTTGGTACTTTTATAGATCAGATTTGTAGGTTTGATGAAGGTACAATATCGTATATGCAGGTTTTAAAAACCAAAGGTACATTTTTGTTTCCCATGGTATAAATCATGTCCTAACTGCAGTGTAGTAGTGTACATTTTGCAGTCTCTCTCTCTCTCTCTCTCTCTCTCTCTCTCTCTCTCTCTCTCTCTCTCTCTCTCTCTCTCTCTCTCTCTCTCTATAAACATATACATGCATATATGTTAATTTTGTCATTTTTCCCTATATAATTGCTATAATTAGAAGTATTCTTATTTTTAATTTTGATAGCAATTAGTCCATATAATACAAAATTGTAAGCTATATAAAAAAAACATGTAGCCTGTCTTTTAGTGACAAATACGATAAAAACTTTGAGATGGTCTAGAAATACATTAAACATGAAAATGTAGAATATTTTCAATCTGCGGAGGAGATGAGTTGGTGTGACGTCACGTCAGCAGCTCCCCTGGGATCAGCGGCGGAGAGTGAGTGAGTGAGTGAATGCGCAGGATGCTGAGCTGAACAGCTGATTCTGTGCATTTAACCAGTATGGACAGCTCTGTTCCGCAAACCTAGCATCTATCGCAGTATATAAAAGGGAGGCATTTTCACTGAAGGCTACGAAAGAAAACGCACCAGCCTCACAATGGAGCGTCTTCTTCATTCACCTGGCCGGACACGGGATGAGCACCGGTACCAAACACCGCGTCCTTCATCACAACTCCTCTCAAGGTCTGCCTTCAGCTTCGGGTCTCCAGTTCCGCTCAGAGGTAATGAAACCCTTAGCGAATTCGCCGCGAAACCGGCCGACAGCTTCGATTACTCAAGCAAATATGCAGGTGCGATGAATCTGAGGAAAATCAGTGAGAAAGAATTACTGCAGGGGCTCAACGATCGCTTCGCGGGGTTCATCGAGAAGGTTCACCACCTAGAGAACCAAAACAGAGCGCTGGAGAAAGAGATTGAAGCCATTAGACTCAGAGCCAAATCATCAACCTCTCTGTCCAAAGAGTATGAGTCTGAACTCAGCAGTCTGAGGGAGCAAGTTCACGAGATGGGCCTTCAAAAGCACCAGATTGAGATCAACCGCCAGAACCTGGAGGACGAGTTCAACACATTGAGAGAAAAGTACGAGAGGGAGACTCGTGGTCGTGTTGATGCTGAGGATGGCATTTCAGTTCTGAAGAAATGCATTAATGATGCCTACCTTGCCAAACAAGAGATGGACAGAAAAGCCAGAGCTCTACAGGAAGAGATCGGGTTCCTGAAGAAAAACCATGAAAGTGAGGTAGCTGAAATGATGGCACAAATCGAAGAGGGTCATGTGACTGCAGAAATAAGTGATTTTAGCAGAAGCGATGTCACTGCAGCTCTGAGAGGCATCAGGATGCAACTTGAAGGTCACTCTGGCTCTGACACCCGATATGCTGAGGAGCGCTTTCGAGCACAGTTCGCCAGACTGACCAAAGCTGCTGAGGTCAACAGGGAAGCGCTCATGGCCACTAAAGCGGAGATTAATGAACACAGGAGACAGCTCCAGTCCAAGAACATTGAGCTCGACTCCATGAAAGGGGTGAGAGAAGGACTGGAGAGGCAGCTGTATGACCTCGAGCAAAGGCACAATGCTGAAATCCATCACTATCAGGTAAGTCTCACAGAATGTTTTAAGAAATGAGCGAAATGTTGAAATAAGAGGACTTTATTTGACTGTTTAAATCAAGGTATAGCAAGTTGAGGACTTTTGCAAATTATGGCAATAGCTTGTAAACTCGGTGACTATAAACAGGGGAGGTTTTAACCAATAAGCAAGGTAATCTGCCACTTAGGGCCTCAGAAAATCTAGGGGCCCCCAATAAATATCTAGAAGTATAAATTATACCTATAAACTATATATAACATAATTTTCTATCATATTTTGTATAGTGAGAGATTTTTTACATAATTAAACATTATTTGATATACACTAAAATATAATATTATTATAATAATGTAATGTTATGTAATAATAATAATATAAAATAAAATATCCACCACCCCAGTCATGGAGCAGTCCAATAGTCAAATTTATTAAAAAAAAAATATAGTCAGAATTATTAGCCCCCTCAATTATTGAGAGGGGACTGGATGCAAACCTGATGCCCTGCAATCTGAGCTTGCATCCATTGCTTTTTAATGCACTCACTTAACCCCACCCCTAACCCTACCCGTCACAGTGACATCACTCACTCCATTGAGGGCATTGTCTGACATTGCATCGCTGAGTGATGCAATCTCGGCTTGCATTATAAAGGCTGCATCCAGATACTATTGGAATTATTGGCCCCCTGTTTATTTTTTCCCCAATTTCTGTTTAACGTTGAGATTTTTTAAACACATTTCTAAACATAATAGTTTTAATAACTCAATTCTAATAAGTGATTACTTTTGTCTTTTCCATGATGACAGTACAAAATATTTTACTAGATATTTTTCAAGACTTCTATACAGCTTAAAATGACATTTAAAAGCTTAACTAGGTTATTTTGGCAGGATAGGGTAATTAGGCAAGTTATTGTATAACGATGGTTTGTTCTGTAGACTATAGTAACAAATTGCTTAAAAGGACTAATAATTTTGAACTTAAAATGTTTTTTAAAAAATTTAAAATTGCTTTTATTCTAGTCGAAATAAACCAAATAAGACTTTCTCCAGAAGAAAAAAATATTATCAGACAAACTGTGAAAGTTTCCTTGCTCTGTTAAACATAATTTGGGAAATAAAAAAAATAAAAAAAAAAACAATTCAAAGGGGGCTAATAATTCTGACTTCAACTGTATATATTTACTATATTTTTATTGTAAAGTCATTTTAAACTAATCATTCAAAATGTAAAGACTGCATTAAGATAAAACATAGAAAAAAAGATTTAGTAATAATAAAAAAACAGTAAAATAAATAATAATTAAATTAAATTAGAAAGGGTGCATCAGGACTTGGGCCCCATGGCTGCAATTGCTTGGGCTCTAATACGCTAAATCCGCCCCTGCCTACAAGCATGATCAAATATTAATCATCATCATATACAAAAGCAGGGTTTAGTGAGGCAAATTTATTCCCTGCATAATGTATTTTGTTGGTCATTAACTGGAACTTTGTTAAATATTTGATTTCTTCATTTTGACAGTATTATATTGAAACAATGCTTATTTAAGGATAAGAAGTTAATATAAGATTATAATTAAAGATCAGGAAAAGTGAAATGGGTATAAAAATAGCATAAAAACAGAAAACAATATGGACTAAAAAAGTATATTTGGATTTAGTTTATTTATTTGACTCAAATTCAGTAACTGATTATTTATAAAGGATAAGAGCCGATTAAAAGAAATCAGTCAAACAGACAGCAACCATATTATTTAAGAAGATCTGTTTAGTCTATTTAAATGAAAAATGCCTAAACCTGAAGTGCCAATCTTGATTTATTACACAAAAGGTGGATATAATCTAACATTCAGTACCTTATCATGTGAACGTTTGTTTTAATCGCTCACTTGTTTTGTTCATGGTGTAGGACACAATCAGAGAGTTGGAATTTGAGCTGAAAAACGCTAAATATGATATGAGCAGTCATCTGAGGGAGTACCAGGACCTTCTCAACGTCAAAATGGCACTGGATGCTGAAATCTACTCCTACAGGTAGTATAATACAACATTTTGTAAAACCATTGCTGTTGAACCTCACAGCAAACATTAGGCAAACATTTATTAAACATCTCAGAATACAATGATGAGCAGAAAAATGCTAGATGTTCTCGCTGCAGTCTCTATAATGATGATGTACTGGAACAGGTCCAATACATAGTGGACATTGTAACACCCACTAAGGTAATGCCTATGCTACTGTGATGGTTGGTCATTTTGGACCTGGTTCAGTACGTCATCAAGCTGTGTCATCTTGAAAAATGTAATACAATTCGTTCTCATTTTTTATTTGGTCATATTTGTATTTCTGATTTCGTCATTTTGGTAAATAGCGCTTGTCTAATCAGAATTAATTTTAATTGAATACCTCAACAGTGCAAATGTATAGATTGTTGGCTTATTTATACCTTGAAGATGTAGTCTTGTAGATATTTCACTTCAGATAGTGTTAATGGACATAATTAGAGAGTGAACAAGAATGGTTGCCTAATTTTAAATAATTAAAAAAATAACCAAGCTTTTACTCCTTGATTATTGGTAGTTTTAAAACAAATGTTTTTTATATTTGCAAAAATTAACAGGAACGTCAAAGCAAGTAAGTTCAAACAGAACCCACTTCTCAGTTTCAGAGTATACAATTAGTCAGAATGGGGAATACTAAATATAGAAAAAAACTATTCATATTGCTTTTGAGAATCAATATTGAAATATAGTGCAGTTAAGTTAGAGTTGGATTTAAGGCTTTGTTGGAACAGCATTCTTGCAATACAACTAGTCTGCAATGACATGTACAGTACTTACTTGTCACTCCCAGCAAGTTTTTTTGTGTGTGTGTGTGTGTTTAAAAGATATTTCAGGCCTGTAGCCAGGTTGGGTTCGGGACTACTAATTTCTAATTTAAAACTTTAACAGATTCTTGTTCTCTATTAATATGATGTGATATTTTTTTAAGTAAATAAATTATATTTCTTTATTCTAAATAATTAGTAAATGTTTTTGGTACATTCAAATTACATTTTGGTACATTGTGGTCATGATGACCACCATAAAAGCTAATGTAGAAAAAACAAAAGTGCCTAAAATGTCACTAAAATGCAGTATTTAAACCTCAGATAAAAAGAAAATTAGGTGAATAACTGCAAAAAAGTCAATTTTTAGAGAACCCCCCTATAACCAGGCTGACTATGCTGCATCTAATATACATTTTTATGTATATACATAAACATCTTGGCTAAAACATTAAGGGTAAAATTAGGCTGTCACTGAAAATCTAATAGACGTCAAACAACAATCGAATCAAATAGCCAGGAATAATTGACCACACATGTGAAGTTGGTCTAAACTGTTTATTTGATGCAAATATTTTGGACTTTGGAAATGTATTTTTGGACAATTGTTAGATGTCTGTTCGATTTCTACTGACAGGCCAAATTTACCCTAGATGGGACTGCTGCTTTTTATGTGATGCATTTCCTGTTATGAATATGATAATGCTTGTTTCATTTGTCCAATGGATGGAATTGCTTTTTACTCCAAAAAAAAAAAAAAAAAAAAAAATTTATTTTCAAAGGACCACCTTTTATTTTAGTTTGAGGAATCGCTCTTATCTGAGAGTGATTGCTGTTCACACGCCTAAACAAACTAAATTTAAAAAAGAAAATTCACCAAGTTCTAACAGTTCTGTCATTTCATACCTGTAGATACTGCATTAAGAAAACGTTTTTGGATACATTTGACAATATTCATTTTACAAGTTCACATTCTCAGATATTTGACTGAATAGAATATGCGTATTTGGCGTACTGTCCGGGAAGAGGGCTCTGGTCTCAGAAAGACATCCTAAGTCATGTTATTCCCCTTATGAGGATAGAGAGAGAGATAGGATGCTGAGCAAAGTGTCTAGCCCAGCTCCAGAACACTTCCCCCTTCAGATTTAAGTAGCTATCTGGTTTAATAGTGTGGAGTTGGGATGGTGGAGGGTTGCTGAAGTCAAGGGAAAATGGAGTGTTTATAGGGGTTTGGTCTTGAGCTGATTGGATAATAGAATGATTGTCAGTATTGTAGCCTTGTCAAAATAGATTGTGCTTCTCTCAAATTTGTTGATAAAACATCACTAAATGACACTAAATTATAGCACTGCTCGGTGTATCTGTGACAGCACTGAAATTAATGTCAAAAATGTGTGCTATTTAAAATTCCCTAATGCAGATTAAAAAGTACACAAGCTGCCACTAGTTAAGCATGAATATTCTAAAGCGTTTTTGTTTTGCAGGAAACTCTTGGAGGGTGAAGAGTCAAGGTACTCTATAATCTCAGATGCACATAATTCAGTACCATACATTTACAGACAGTCACCCATCTATACTCTCCCTTGTGTCAAAAGGCAGGGGGGAGCACCCCGAAAGGCAGAGCCTCAGTACAAATTTGTTGAAGAGATTATTACAGAAACAACCAGAGAAGACGTGGAAATCTCGGACACTGGCTCTGAAAAGAGTGGAGAGGGCAGAGTGGATGACAAACCAGATGAGGAAAGTAGTGAGAAAGATGCTGAAACTGAACAAGAGGCAGAAGATCCCGAAGAACCTGCTGTGGTGAATGGCACTGAAGAAGCAGAGACCGAAAATGAAGACAAACCAAGTGATGAAAAAGAGGATGAGCCAGTTGAGGAAAGTCCTAAGGGACAAAAAGATGCTGACTCTGAACCAACGCGAGAATCAATGCCTACAGAAACAGACATTGATGAAGTAGGTAAAGATGAGGAAACAGGAACAAAAGGCACTGAGCACAAAGACCAGAAGGTGGACACAAAGGGAAAAGAAGCACCTGAAGAAGAAGATGTGAAAAAGACAGATGAACCAATTAAAGAAAAAGAGCTCCCCAAAACTGAAGAGCGAGAAATGCCTGAGAAATCTGAAGACAAACCATCTCTGGAGCATAAAACATTAGTGAACACTAAGCCCAATGGAGAGACTGAAGTTACTTCTCCAAAAACCGAAGTTGCCAAAATCTCTTCTCAAGATTCTGCAACTGCAAAATCACCAGAAAAAGAGAAAGAAACATCCCCAGTGCAACCTGTAGAGAAAGATACTCCCAAACCTGACAAACATGACCTTGATAAACTGACTACCGAAGAAAAGACTTCTGCAAAAATAGCAGTAGTGGAGGAAAAATCTGAAAAAGACCTAGAGGATAATAACAAACAGCCAGAGAAACCTGTGGAGAAAAAAGAGACTGAATCAAAGGAGCAAAAATCTGAGGAGTCCACAAAAGATAGCAAAGCTGCTAAAGTGATAGATGATGTGAAAACAGAAAAAGATGACGGTATTAAGTCTAACAAAGCAGAAAAGGAAAAGGTAGAAGAACAGTCAAAGAAACAGGAGGACAGCAAAACCGATGGCAATGTAGAGACTGTGCCAATTGAAACTACCAAGGAAAAAGAAACAGAAAAGAAGCAAGAAGACATTCCCAAAGAAAAGTCTAAGACAGAGAAGGATGACAAAAGTGACAGTGCAGGCAATGCCAATACTGAAAAAGATGATCGTGCCGCACCTAAAGAAACTGAAAAGACACAGCAGGACCTTCCCAAGGTTGCGGAGGGAAAATCACAACCTGAAAAGTTGCAGGAGAAACAGGAAGACAGCAAAAGTGACTATGTAAAAGCAGAACTTGCTAAACCTAAAGAAACAGAAAAGACACAAGAAGACCTTCCTAAAGCCGCTGAAGAGAAGACACAACCTGAAAAGTCTCAGACACAGGAGAACAGCAAAAGCGACAGTGCAGGCAGCACCAAAACCAAAAAGCTTGAAAGTGATGCAACTAGAGAAACTGGAAAGACACAAGAAGACCTTCCTAAAGCCGCTGAAGAGAAGACACAACCTGAAAAATCTCAGACACAGGAGAACAGCAAAAGTGACAGTGCAGGCAGCGCCAAAACCAAAAAGCTTGAAAGTGATGCGACTAAAGAAACTGGAAAGACACAAGAAAACCTTCCTAAAGTCACAGAAGAGAAATCTCAACCTGAAAAGCCACAGAAACAGGAAAACAACAAAAGTGACGCTGTAAAACCAGAGAATATTGAACATCCTAAACCTACGGAAACAAAGGACAATTCCAAAGGCATGGAACCAAAATTGGAAGAGGTAAAGTCAGAGATAAAGGATGATGCTAAAAGTGACAGTGTGGACATCAACAAAACAGAAACTACTAAACCAGCAATACCTAAAGAGACTGAGGAGAAGCGAAAAAAGGAGGACAGTGAAAGTGTTAGCGCTGCCGAAAGTGTGAAAACGAGCAAAGATGAAGCTAAAACAAAGGAAAAAGCGGTTGATGAGACGCAGAGTACTCAATCTCCCAAAACCCAAGAACCGTCATCTGAAGCAAAGCCTGAACAAAAGGACACTAACGAAGGCAAAGGGAAGATGCCTGAAAAAGCCGAAGAGGTGAATACTGTGACGACCAAAGGCAGCAAAGATGTTAAGGGTGAAGACACTGTCCCAAAAGACAAAGCAGGTGAAGTGAAGGCTCCAGCAGCAACCAAAACAGAAGACAAAACTGTGGAGAAGTCAGATCAAGTCAAAGGGACCGAGAAGACAGACAGCGTAGACACCAAAGCTTCTTAAACCTTCTTATGTAGTATCGAATATAAATAGCAGAACATTGTTAAGAAAAGACAGTAAGCAGCCTTGATGAATGTAACATAAATGACACGCATGAATCGTATAAATGCTTTCTCAAAAGTCTTACGTTTCCGATGCAGATGCATGCGTACACTGTGATCTAGGTGTACATAAAGAATGTATAAGATTTTATTTTGCTACATCCCTTGCTCCAAAAAGCCATATGAATGTATGACTGTAGTGCTTTACAGTATCTGAATAAATATTGCAGCATATCAGTGTTTATTGGTCTGTTGATTCCGTGAAAGTTCCTACAGAGGAACTACAGTGTTGAGTTTTATAAGCTGTGCGCCAATAGTGGCGTTTCATGCTCCTCTTCTGATGTTGGTTGCAACATTTGCCAACCGTCACATACAAACTTACATATTCTCTTTTGTCATCATAGCAGCATTTCATCTATAAAGTATCTCAAGGCAATTTACTATGTGTTTCCTAGGACTTCTATTGACAGATGTACCCTGCAGACTGCTCAATATTTTAAAATGTCTGCAGCTACTTTGTTTAATATTTTAATCTGAAAGAATGATTTACAGCATCACCAAGATTTTAGCAACTAAAGATTAGCAAACGCTGCCAATGATCTTATTTTGCAATGCTCAAGCTCTTTTCTTTTCTTCCAACAAATGAGCTTCTAACAAATTAAGCTAAAGCTATACAGGTACACTAACAGATTAATAAACGTTTTAAGAAATACTTTGCCAAACGTTAGTGTTAGTTGGTGCATTAAATTTATTAAAGTCTAATACCTTATTGTAAAAATGTTACAACTAGTAATTGATATAAATACGGTTCTTTTCAACTTCCTATTGATCAGAAACTCATGAAAACAATATTGCTTATCATTAGAAATAATGCTGTAATAAATGGACACATTTCACAATACTTATTTCACTTTTGCAAAACTCTTCACATAATTCTCCTAACAGACTTATAGCTTGGCAAAGCAGTTCATTTCACATTTAACATGCACTAAAACTACCAAAACACTTAATTCAGTCTCAAATAAACTTATTCTTCCAGAACACTAGCAAAGGTGGACAGCCGACAAACACACTTTGTCACCCAACAATGACCTAAAAAACACTAACAAAATGCAGCATTACATTGTTTTCTTGTGTAAAACAAGGACACATCTCTGTTTATAAGTGCAATATATATTGTTTATAATAGCAATATATGTTACTGGAATTTATCAGAAAAGAAGCTAAATTTGTCAATATTTTATGGTTTGTTTTTTGCACCAAGTAATTCCAATATACAAGAATTTGAATACACACCATCCACTGATAAAGATACAATAGTAATGCTAATCTGGCTGGTTAAACTGCATTATTAGATTTGAAATATGTTTCCATAAAATATTGCTGTTGAATGTTGCTGTCTTAATCAGTTTTGCATGATGTTACTGTTTTTAATATACGTTTAACAGTTTTGAAAACAGTATGTAAGCACGTGCAATATGTCCTGTACGTACAAAGTTTTTTTGGCAGTTGTTGTGTCTGAGTGAGAAAAGAATTCAGGAAATTTTAGAGATGTAGTCATTGAATGCGTTTTGTGCCAAAACAATAATTGGTCCTCAGTTTAGCCCACACATGCTTCTGTTATGCTCACCGTGTGAAGAGTTTTGCAAAAGAGACCCAAGTATTGAGAAATGTGTCCTAGTGTCTGTAAAAAAACGTAACATTAATGCTCGTTTGAAGTAGCCTAAGATATGATGTAGTGCTACATCTAGTTGTTCTTGTAGAAAATAAAACTGATACTTTATGAAACTTTATACTGCGAAAACAACCGGATTGATGTAGGTCAAAGTAAACAGTTAGACCAAAACTTTGACCTAAGCTTTATCAAACCACCATTTAATTAAAAGTAAACCTTTCAGAAAAAAAGCACTGAATGCAGCCCGTAAACTTACACTTATCTTTCAGCCAAAGGGTCAAGCACAGCAGCGTGATAAGTACTGTAATGAAGCCTACCCTCTAATGGACAAAATGATTCAAAGTACCTGAATGAGAATGTGTTATTAGTTTCAGCAGCTATTATGTGCCACATAATGGAATGTTGGGATTGAAAAATCAGTGTCAAGTATTTCTGACTGCCATGTAAATTTTCACCAGATGCCAAATTAACAGCCATAACTGGAAGTTATTAGTCTAAAAGTTTTTTTTTTTTTTTAATCTGTTTTCTGTCAAATAATATGCTTTATACTGTATACCCCGCTGAAAAAAAGTTGTTTAAAGCAACCCCTTGGCTGGTTTAAAAGGAGTTTGGGCCTTTTTCAGGCTAGGTTACAATTTCCAGCCTGGTCTTAGCTGGTCAGTCAGGCTGGGAAATGACCAGCTAAAACCAGCTTGACTCACCTGGTTTAAGCTGGGCTCCAATCCTGGCTAAGCTTGTTTTAGCTTGTCATTTCCCAGCATGACCAGCTAAGATCCATCTGATAATGGCTAAAACCCCTCTAAAACCATGCTCTTCAAGCTAAAACCAGCTTAGCTTGGTTTAAGCTGTTTTTTTTTTTCAGCAGGGATAGGCCTAGGTAACTAAAAATACACTTCGACTGCACATTTTTCTCTACCTTGAGTACAACATGAAATGAAGTCATGCTTTTAAAATAATAGCTAAAATAAACATCAACCTGTTTGCTGTAGCAGAAAGCAAGACTCATGCAGATAAATTTGAACTTTTCCAGACGGCTTTTCTTCTCTAGCTTTGGTGAGCAAATGTGAATTGCAACCTTAGTTTGCTGTTATTAGCTGACAGGACAATAATTGATAAGCTATACTCTTCTTTTACTGAAGCCCATCTGGTTCAAGGTATGTGTTCAGAGATGCTCTTTTGCAGTCTTTTTTAATTACGTCAGGTCTTTTAAGTTATTGTTGCCTCCATCCACTCAAACCAATCCAACACAGGCATTTACACCTACAGAACTGGCCCTCACTGGATGGTGGTTGTTTTTTGGACAATTCTCTGTGGCCTAAACCCTGAGGTCTTAAGGCAGTTAAAATCAAAGTACAATTTCTAAAATCACTTATATTTCTTTTGTTGTGCATTATAATATTGGGTTGGACTTGCTAACATCTTCATTGTTTAAATGCATTCGAGTTGCCATCATTTGATTAGCTGATTAATGCTAGATATTCGCATTAACAAATGAACCCAATAAAATGACCAATGTGTGCAAATGAATTAATACAGTACTTATTCCTTGATAGAAAATAAATAAATGACAGGAAATGATCAGGAACACTTGATTTTCTGCACATATGTGCATACAGTAAAAGAGAAACCACATTAAAATATTTTATTTGTAACCAATAAAACACAACCTGTCTGTGAGAACCAGAAGTCACTGCACAATTATATTTTAGTACTATGACGTATTTCCAGGTAAAAAAGAATATTAAGGGGCGGGGTTTTATTTGCAATCATTTACATTAACGGTTGGAGGGCGTGGCTAAGCATATTTCACCTAAGCCATCATCAGTTAAGAACTGTAGAAGCAGAAGCAAATGGTCAGGTTTGATTAAAAACGCTAACAATGGCCTCTGACAAAATAAACTAAGTTTTACACTCATTTAAACATTGATATGTCAAAAAAGGTCAAATAAATCAGACTGAAAGGCCATTTAATATTAAAATAATTATCCAAACAAAAAGAGTACAAGTCTTTTACTTTTGCATGACAAACTTCTGTTCAAAGTTAGATATAAAGAACAGAATATTTGCAAAAAATCCATTTTATCTTTAAAATCTCAATTACGCAGTATTTTTGGTAATTTAAGCACTATTTTTCTCTGTGACATGTCCACTACCCTATTACAGTAGATCTCCTTAAGAGTTTGAGCTAGGGTTTATGTTACGAGAGGCTATTCGCTTTGTAAGCAACAACAACCGTATGGTAAGATGTGTTCAAAGAGTTTATTGAAAAGTTCAAACATACACATAAGGACCTCTGAGGTGTTGTAAAGCATGGGAATCAGGGCAACACCGGGAGCAAAAGGTACTGAACTCAAACCACACCCACAAGACCCGTCCCGCCATCACAGGGAGCCACGGAGAGTCATCTGTGCTGCAAATGAAAAACAGAAGGCCAGCCATGCCAGCTCACGGGCAACAGCACTCACCACCCCATTAGGCTACCCAAAAACTGCTCAGCTCAAGGGCAGACTTCACCTGCAAGATAAACTCTGGATGGCTGCCCGAGGGAAAGTAAACTGCTTAAAGCTCGTCCTTGCGTGCATGGAAAGAAGAAAACGGTATAACAGTATTTAAATAATATCAGGTAGAACCTTTAATATCGAGTAAAGTGGTTTGCTTGAATCGCAATCAGACGACGAAGGAATATCAGATACAATACAAAGGATGAAATCAGAGACAGTTTTGTCACAAACCCACCACCGTCTAACTGAAGAGGGAGCAACACATCAGGACGCCACAGATGCCCTCTATCCCAGAGCGCATTTCATTACTGTGGAAGTGCTGGAGAGGGATGGCCAAATTAATTTGTAGCTGAATGTCTATGAGAGAACAACTACAAACGAAAAACAAACATAAGGACCTGAAGGGGACGAAAAAGAAACCACATGACATGATCGCTTTTGATGAGCCTTTGCACACATCCCATCCCGATTCCCCCTGCTGGTTGCTGCTGGAGTTAGATTTAAGGCCAGATTTCTCTGATATTCCCTTGTCCCTGATGTTCAGCAGAAGCAGGTTTAAGCCTCCAGCTCCAGGCCCAAGCCCAGCTTGTGGCCACCGGAATTGATGCTCTTCCCATCAACCAGGGCAGACAGGGTCAACTTGATACCTGAAAAACACCAAAGTTTTTAAAAATCACAAGAGTTTTACAACATAAATGCAAAACTAAATAACGAATGGCATGTTTCCACTGAGCAGTACAGAAGTGACAGGAATGGACCCGTGAACAACAATTGTATTATAGGTCATTGATTATGGTGTAATGTTTTGCCTGTATATTTAATAGTGGTGCTATATGTTGTCGTTCCCCTGACTTGAAATGTGATGTATACTGTAAACCAACCAGCTTTCTGCAGGGAGTCTAGCTCCATCCTTTTGGCAACATATTGTTGTGCTTGATACCCTTATAGAGCGTTCACACCAGACGCAGCTTATAATTATAAATATTTGTCTGTAATTAGAGATGAAGCATTTTCAGTTTGGCGAGAATGTCCACCAAAATTCCGTTTTTTCAACTTGACCCATT